ATATTAAATGTTTCATATATTTAATAAGAAATCATATTTTGGGGCACACAAAATTATACTATCAATTTATTTGCAATAATGATAATTGAAAAAATTTATAAATAGATATGTTTTTTAAAAAAAAAAAATTATGACAATTTTACGAGATGTTTTTCATCTGTGTGAGAGAGATGAGAGGGTAAATATGACGTTTTAAAAGTTACAACTTCAGTTTTCATATTGAAAATTAATTGATTAGATTTATATGTCTGTTATAATCAAACTGAGAGATTGGTCGTTAGAACTTAATAGTATGAATAGCATATTCACTCAGTTATATGTGGTCTTTTTGTTTGCAGCGTGATGATTTATTAAGTCATTAACTAATTTGGCTTAATTAAGACAATCTATGCATTAAGTCATGTCTTATTGGATGTTTGGCTCATTGATTTCAAAAGATTTTAAGGGAATTGGAATGGTTAATTCCTTGGACCACATTTCAATTTCAATTCATTTGTTTGGTTCACATATTGAAAATGTAGGAATCATTTGAATTTGTTACATTAAATATTTCACCATTCCATTGGATATCTTAAAGATTCTAATTCCTTTTACAGTTTCATTTCAATTCCATCCAACCAAATACGTGATCAAAATCTGTTTCAACTCATTCAAAATCAAATTCCTTTGATACATAATTTCATTATGTGAACTAAATGTTTTCTAACTCTAGATATTGATGTATGTAATGAAGAAACTGATAGAATTTTATAGTAATATATTTAAGCCACTTAATCTATACTACCTTATAAACCAGATTTATCAAAAGTCTTAAAAACAATTTTTAATGCACAAAGTACTATGCATTTATGCATAAAGTCTTAAAAACAACTCATAATGCATTAAATACCACTACTTTATACATTTAGTCTTAAAATCTCTTAATCTACAATTAAAATAATATATAGTACAAGTTACCAATGCACATTACTACTTTTTCTTTTCATGTTCCCAAGATACTTTTGACACCTTTCACTCATGTCTTCACCCTCTCATACCTCTATGTATTCTTCTCATCCCCCAAGGTGATATTGAAACTGATATTCACCATGGGTTATTACAAGTTCCCTCATTAATCTCCCATTGAATTGCTCTAGAACTTTCGGTCTCGCTCTCAATCTCTTGATTATTTGCTCTTGGTGTAAATCGAACACATTTGTGGAGTCGTTTAAATATGTTGGATTTTAAACTGTCATATAATTTTTTTTCGTCGATAAACTATAATTGACACCATAACTCTTATTCATTCAAATTGTATTAATACGTAAAGATCAAGTGTAACTTATATCATCGTTAAATCTTCTATAATAAAAATCAGTGAAACTTCAAAACCGTTAAAATTCACAGCTCCCGTCACATTGCAGAGATAGACAAATAGTATTTAATAAAGAAAAAGATGGAGCACAACTTTTTGGACGTACCGCCTTTGCAAATCTTATGATGGATCTTCATCATCATCAAAATTTTAATTCTTTGAATTACTTTCCTACCTTTTTAAAGTTGGCCTTTCTTTTCAACATAATATTTACCTCTAACAATTATGTCAAAACGCGTTTTCACATTATTTTACAACTTAATATTATTAATTATTAAACAGGACTTGGTCAAAATGTTCCATTATCATTTTATACTTGCATTATTATAGAATATTCCGGATTATCTGCAAAGCAGGTGGTCATCCTAAAATTAGTCGGCTTGCATAACGGGTTGGATATCCAAATTAATCCCAAAAAAAGAAGAATGTTATAGAATGTATCAGGACTTTCAGATCTGCAATATCCTGAGAAATCTTTGCTCCTAGTTTTATTCAATTTGGTGCATAGAGTTGGTTGTTAAAACATCAATTTGTGTTTTTTTCTTAATTTTCTATTCTATCTTGATATATCTGCACTGAGTCACGGGTTTTTCTATACTACTATAAAAATTCCTAACATATACTACAGAATAGTAGCATGAAACTAATGTGTTGTTTGTTTACCTCATAATAGTTTTATTAAAGGGCAGCATCTGAATCGCTAAGAGGTGAATCTTGTTTGGCAAAAAAAAAAAGTTGCCGCTTAAGGGTTTCAAAACCCTCTGAATGATTTTGTATATCGAGTCTCCCTTAACCATTCAACACCTTAATTTCATTGTAAACAATTACTGAACAATTATTTGCATTATATCATGAAAGTCTCTTAATCATTTTGACCACTCAATTTATTTTGTAACAAACCATTCAGCAACTACCAAACAGCCCTTAGTTTTGTATCCAAAAATCCTCATCATCATCCCTCAACAAGCAAATAATGTCAAGCAGTAGCGAACCCAGGATTTGTACCGAGTGGGTGCACCTTTAAATGCCTGTAAACTCGCTCAATGTGTTTTTGGCCGAATTTCGCCTTTGGAGTTTTTTGGTTGATTTTAAGGGATTTTTTAAGTTTTTGGTTGATTTTGAAGGACTTTTTTGATTTTTTTTCGAGAGAATTTTGTATTGATGTCAACACATGTGCACCTTTAACCCTGCAAAAACTCTAATATCTCGGAGCACACCCCAAACTTTAGTGGGTGCACCTTACGTAACCAAAAGAAATTTCTTCTTACAAATTAAGGTTGAGCGTTAGCAAGAGACCACACTCCCGTCAAGGTAGGTCTGCCCCTAATGTCGAGTTGTATATATCATTCCCTACATTAGTATAGTAGTTGGTTACCCATGAATTTAAACATTCGAGATTTACATCTCACGTATCAAAATGAAGATTTTAAAGAGAACATAATCCAAAATAGGAATTAAAACCATACAACACCCGTTGTTACTAATTATCTTTCAAGTTTATGTATCAAATGCATAGACTTTAAACTCTCTTGGAGTGCACTTTAAAACTCACTTATTTAGGACTTGCAAAAGTAATCGTTATACCAATTTGTAATCAGTAATTCAACCATGTACAATTTGTAACACCCAAATTTCAAATTCGATCGATGTATTTTCCGAAGATCAAAACATTAACCCATAGATACACATCGAGACATAATAATCATTTTACATTCAACACTTTCACAGGTTGGTATCTATTTATTAGTACCCACCCTTGCAATAATAACACAAAATAAAAACATACTAAAGTTTGTAACGACTCAACTAACAGAAGTACCAATAAAAAAAGGCTACATATCATGGAAAGAATGAATTACTGAAAAAATCTATTTGAAAATACATATGCAACCCCATATAAACAATATATAGATTCATATATAAACTTTTCCGACTCAAGTCAACCAATGTGATCATTTTCGTGTTTTGTATTTCGGTAGGTATGATTGTTAATACTTGTCTTCAACCTTTGTTTTTATTACAAGAAACACAAACACACCAACCATGTACTAATTAGGTATACATGGTAACAATCATCTCACCCACCAATATACTTCCACATTGAACAATGCTAAAAGACAACAACAATAATAACTACACATTACTTGTCAACAATACAACTCTAGAAAAGAACCCCATCTAACCCTTGAATCCGAAATACGATAGATAGCCTATGAATTCACAACCGATGGATCGAATATATGAATGGTTCAAACGGGTACTTATGTTCTCTCACTTGAACCTGCTCCTTTAAAATGCATTCCTAGAACATCTACAACTTATTTGAAAGGCCAACCAGCACATAAGCAAGAATAGTAACCATTTGCAGCTTATCAAATGGTATATAAGAAAAACAAAAAACAAACACCAGATTCATTAAGTTATTAAGACATATGCTACAATAGTAACCTTGCTCTTTCTTGCTTGTTATATACATTAGGGAAGTTGACATAACTACGAAAGCTCCAACTGTACAAACAACTTCGCTTAACTTTCTTCAATCCACAGCTGGCTTTTCTGGCTAACTTCTATAAATATGTACACTGGGAACCATTCTGCAGATTCCAACAAAACTCAACTAATAACAACAAAAATAATACAAGAGCATCCACCATTGAGCTTTTTAAAAAGCTTTTCAGAGAGCTTTTTGGTCACATATTACAGTAAAAAAGCCACATTTTGTTTTTAAGTGCACAAGCTCCGAATAAGCCTGTTTTTCTTGGTCACTTAAAAGCTTGTGGGTTCCACTTTTTTGGAAAAAGTTCAAATAAAAAGCTTTATGATCATTGTGGATGCCATAAGATGTCACAAAGTAAATGGAGGGTACACTTACTCGATCAATCAGAATATGGGGTAGCTGCGAGTTCATCCTTCCTCATCCTTAGGCTGAGACATATTCTCCTCATTGTTATAAGCTTTTGCCTCCACAGGATGCACAGGGGAAGTTCCTGTAGTCGGATCAAAATTGTGTTGTAATTGCAATAAAACAGTCCATTTGTATTACAGTACATGCAATTGCATTGACCAGAAAATCTTGGGAATAATTCAATCGCATCCCATATTTCTTTTTGGATGTCTTGACTGGTAACATAATACTAATTATCACATTCTATTGTGTTCTTAAATTTGTAGGTTAATTTCTGAACTGTTCTTGAGATTCTCGACTCGATTTAACATTAAGAGCTTAAAACATATAGTTTTAGTATCTGGCCAGGTTTCGCACGGATGTGGCCTCAACTGCGTTCAGTTTTTGTGTTATTTTATTCTATCCACATGTTCCTATTCCTAATATAGAAGCCAAATTTGCTTCTAGCCTTCTACCAGTTAGAGAGATTTTTCATCCTCCAAAACCCAGCTTACTGTAAAACCTAAAAATGATGCGCATATTGTCAAGTGACCAAGTCTACATACGCAGCAGGTACAGTTCCACTGTTTTGCACGACTTTGGCATAAATAAGTAATGCATATATGTGCTTCCATTGTTTTACAAGTTGGCTAAAGCTAGGGAGCGAAGGCATCAAGATTTAGGAAGCATAAGTATATATCAAGGATGGGAAAATGCATGCATGTTAGTAAGGTATGAGGAGATAAAGAGAGATGTGGTAGTTATTCTGTTTCAGTTTTTAACAAGGGAAGGAAGAAAGAGGGGAATGGACGGTGTAGAGACATGAACAATCAATATTTTGGTCAAAGGATTAGCAAGGGGGAGGTGAAGGAGGCACTAAGCAAAATGAGGAATGGAAAGGGCATAGGCCCTAACCAAATCCCTATTCAGGCGTGGAGGTGCTTGGGGGAAATAGGGAGGCGGCCATAGGCCCAAACCAAATCCCTATTCAGGCGTGGAGGTACTTGGGGGAGGTCGGGAGGCAGGTGCGCAATGGCACGAATCTCTTGCGTTGTCCTTAATATTCTCAAGATGCCAAAAGACTTGAGGCCATACACCTAATTAGACACCTTATGGAGAAATATAGAGAGCGCAGTAAAGATCTGTGCTTGTATCCATAGACTTGACGAAGGCCTATTATAACGTACCCAGGGACGTGATTTGGTGGAGCCCGGAGAGGAGGACAAGGGTACCATGGAGGTATTTCAAGGCAATACAAGATATGTACAAGTGAACAATATCTTGTGTAAGGACTCCGGTGGTGAGACGAGTACTCCCCAGTGGACATAGGAATGCGCAAGAGAGAGCAGTAAACCTATTTATGTTTGCAATGCTTTTAGATGAATTTTCGTGAGGGATCCATAGGGGGTGTCCGTGGTGTATGTTATTTGCTGATGATATTGTATTGGTAGTGGAAACAAAGAGTGAGATGAATGCTAGGCTGGAACAAAAGAGGGAGGCTTTAACTACTCGAGCTTGCGCATTACTTTGTCAAAGACCAAATACCTTTGGTGTAATTTCAGTAGAGTGTAACAAGGAGGGGGTAGTTGTTTGCACGATTGAACAAAAGGCACCCCAAAAGGATAATGACGGTTTCAAGTATCTAGGCTCTGTGATCCAGAAGAAGGATGAGGTCGAGGATGATGTTACTCACCGCAATAAAGGCAGGGTGGTTAAAATTGATGGCTGCTACAAGAGTGTTGTCTAATAAAAAAGTTCCCCCAAGGTTGAAGAGCAAATTCTATAGAATAGTTATCAGACCAGCTATGGTGTACGACACAAAGTGTTGGCTGATAAATAAAGAATATGAGAGGAAGATGAAGATGGCTGAAAAGAGGATGCTCATATGGACTTGTGGAAGGACCATGCTAGATAGAATATCAAACAAGGTTTTTTGAGTAGAGTTAGAAGCAATGAATATAGAGCAGACATATAGATATTCCTTTTTTGTTCCTCTTTCTCCGTTCTCATGTTTCATTCCAATCTTGGGGGGAAATGTGTTTATCCTATCTTCTAAATTTTCCTTCTTCGCCTACCTTCTCATTCCTATCCTACATCAACATGGTAGCTTCTATACTACCCACAGTTGTGTGTGAGAACATCAGAAAACTTTTGAGGTTTTTTAGCTGAGGTAACATCCCTTAGGCAAGAATATCAGAGCTCAAGAATCATTATAAGAGATGACCTGACTTGCCTCAGAAGCCAGCATAGCCACAATATCTGCAGAAGAAGTTGCCCTACACAAGCACGGGAGCAAGATATCACATCAAATTGACTCATCGACGACATTTAATCGTCAACTAAATAACAACGGCATTGAGACCCCCATCTCATGATTGCAGCATAGATGCAACGGAAGCTGCATCATATTAAAAAATTAACCGAACGTAGCAACTTGACATTCCGACTTGAATCTAGAATGCCACCAACACCGCATGCCATTCCTAACGTTATGTTTGTCACCTAGTATTAGCTTCACATCTCAAACTAAACTGCTTGTAGATACCAGTAAATATTCTTCAACCTTCTTCATTCCTCCATCAACAATCTAATTTCCTTGAATAATATTTATGTTTAAAGCACCGGTCATTCACCAAGCCCCCAAGAATCGCAGTCTGGTATGACAGGATTCTGATGAAACAAGGACCACAAATCAATTTAAAGGATAAGCAGTAGGATATTAGGATAGCTGATGTAATTTTTCCATCCAGATACAAGTCAGCTTTACAAGGTATTTAACATCAATGATGGTTACACATATAAACTAAAACTTCAAGAGTGACTAAAAGTTTGACTCAATTTCGAATTTTTGTACAAAAGTAATTAAAAAATTTGAAGTTCTATACGAGGTACCAACATGTTTCCATTCCACAATTATAATCCTTTTAGCACCCCAAAAAAGAATCAAAACTGAAAATCCTATTGAGGGTGAAATGAGAAAGGGGAAACATGTTTATAAATGACAAGCATATATATCCTTAATCTTCATGTGATATGGTAAGTGAACTCAAAAAGGCAATAATTCTATTCACAACTCCATCCACCAACTTCAAGATAAACTACGATCGACTGATCATATTATGTCCTCACCCAGTTAAATAACGAAAAACTTGCATCAAGGATGACTTCTAATCTGTAACAGCTATATAAGATTACTATTAGGGATCTCGAGTTCAATGCGTCCAATCACTACTTTATCACAAACATCTTTTCTTCTTATTGTTCCGGCGTGTATTTTTGTAACTAACAAAATCTATACAATCCAAATCGTAACTTTGCGGTTCAACTTCACTCAAACAAATAAGGGCGTAAAGCCAAACAAAACGCAAAGCAAATATTCAATACCTTCGAGGAAATAAGATGACGAAGGCCAACCTCGCGATGTATTAAGAGACATAGATTCATCTTCGGTCATCGGATTGGTAAGCTTCTCCAGGACTTCAACGATACCGTGAGATTCAGGCCGGTGACGGCGAGGAGGGACCCAATACGAGGAACCCGGGATGAAAGGAAGCCAATCGGGAGTCGATTGCCTCACGATGATGTTATGGATAACATCCTCAAGCTTTCTTATCCCTACCACCTCCCCTTCCGATTCCAACTCGACTTCGATCAATTGCGCTTTTCCCGATCGACTAGAGAACCGATGCGGCTGGGATACACCTAATTTGAATGTCTCAAAGGAATTTAATGATGATGATGATGTCGATTGTATTAGGGTTTTTGAGAGGAATCGAGCCATTGATTTGATAGATTCTACTGTATGTATGTGTCTGAAAAAAATTGATAAGCAATAAGATAGATATGAACGAAGATTAAGGTCATATATTAATAGCCAAATGTCAACTTAACCGCCTCAACTTTTATAAGTTCTACAAAATTCAACTTTTATTTGTAATTATGGCAATACCTTCCTATATGAATCCTCATCATCATTATAAGGCTGAGAAAGGGGTTTATGGGTTGGGTTAATCGGTTTGAATATCTTTGAACAATTCAACCTAATGCTTACGGTTTGAAAATTTTTAACTCAACCCAACCCAACCCAACCCGGCCCGTACGGGTTGGTACTTTGGTACATTTAATATTATTCTAAACTTGAATATGTTATTTCTCTGCTCATAATTTTTTTCATCATCAACCATTTGATACAATTTATCCATATTTCTTGCGTATATCACATTCAGTTAATTTTCTCAATTTACATATATATGTTCACAGTTACTAAAAATATATATATAAATTAGTTATTTAGAGATGTATAGATTGAAAATATGTGTATATGAAAAGCATACATGATGGTATAATTATCTAATGTATATATTAATACAAGTTCAACAATCATATTAAATCCAATAAATAAAAAGATATCGGGTTCATCGGGTTGGGTTGGGTTCAAATAATATCAACCCAATACCTACGTTTGACAATTTTACAACTCGATTAGACATCGGGTTGCTTCGGGTTGGGTTATTTCACGTTGGGTTGGGTTGATGGGGTTGGTCGGGTTTTTGAGCACCCCTATGGTTGAGCATGTATTATAGCTTAATGATGCATGGTTTGATGAATGACGAAGTTCTTGACTTGAACCCTTAGGGGTGGACGTTGATTCACAAAATGAAATTTGATGGAATTGAAATCTAATAAAGAAATTTGATTTGTAAGGAATTATAATGGAATTTGACCACGTCTTTGATGGATAGGAACTCGAATGGAATTCAAGAAGTGAACCAAACAAGTGAATTGGATTTTTGGTCAAAGGAATTGACCATTCCAATTCCCTTGAAATCCCATGGATTCCATGAACCAAACAACTCCTTAGTTGTCGAAAACAAGAGAATTGTATTCAAGGATTGCATGGCTACCAATAACTAGGGTCCTCGTTAATTTTTCTATGACTGTTGATACGTCAAAAATTTCATAGGGATCGGAGGATCATGTGTCATCTACCCAAGTGTTCATTCAATCTTTCCAAGGTTGAATGTCAATTTGTTCTTGTGGAAGTGTATTCTCTTGTACAAGTGAAAATCAATAAAGTGTTACTCTCAAGTCAAAATGGTATTTAAACGTCATATATGAGTAGACAATGTATGATAGAGGTGAACCGGAGCAAGATGGACCACTAAAATTGGTTAATTTAGAAATGAGGTGTCGTGAGTATCCATATCTCTGTATCGCAGAACTATGAAATGACGTACGTAACCTTGGTATGCCACTACGGTCGCAACACACATGGGTCATGAAGACGAGTGTAGTCAGTGAATTCACTTCCTCATAGACTTAATATTGTGACTCTAAGTCGCATCATCATGTGGTAACACCTATAACTCTTGTGAGAACGTCCGAGGAAAACGGTCGGGATAACAGTCGAAGAATGGCGAAAAACGGTCGGAGAACCGTCTGGGAACACGGTGCGGCATGACGTGGAACCCGGTATGGTGTGGAGCGGGGACATGACACGGTCAAGCCTGGGCGATTTGGCACGCGAGCTAAGTCGCAGCCTTATTATTTGTGAGATTATGGACGCAGGCGACCTGCCACGTGACTTAGGTCACGGGCAACGTCATATTGGTGCCTAAAACTGCATAAAAGCTCGATTTTTAGGGGTTTCCTTCATTTAGCTCTTTCTTCTTCATCCTTAAGTTGATTTGGACGKTTGTGGAGGCTATAGACTCATTTTTCATAGCTATTTGAGGGGAGATTGAAGAAGATTAAGTTTTTTTTTTGATGATTTTAGAGTTCCTTGAAGGTTGGATGTAAGCTTCTAAACTACCATTTCTTGACCTAGGGTTTGGTCACTTTGTATCCTCAAGCCTCATCTCTCCTTTTGTGTTTATTTATGAAACATTGGGAATAAGGGAAGTGTTCCTGAGAGCTTTACACCATATATTTGGTATTGTAGCTTGAGAATCTCAAGTTTTCACCAAATGAAGCTCAAGATTTGGTTTGGAGCTTAGATTTAGCACAAATCTAGTAAGGTGGTTGATTTGCAAAACTATATACATGTCAAAATATCTCTATTTTGGGTTTCTAACATATTTCCATGAGTTATTTTGCATTTGGCGAGTTTTATGATTTTTGGTGCATATGATGAGTATGTTTTTGGTAAATCTTGAAAAATGTTTACAAGAGTGTTTATTGGTTAATTTTGAGGCATAAATCTTAAATGATTGTTTTGAATGATATTTGTTGCATCAAATGAGGTTTCTTGAATACTTGGATAATTTGGGACAAAACATTGTTGTAAGTTTTAGGAACTCTTGTGGGATTTAACCCAACTTGTGAATTTTAATGGTGGCACTTGAGCCCCCCTTGGGTTATGAGTGTGTAAACCTTTGATAAACACTTATTATTGGTCTTGTGGAATCTTGAAAATACAATTCTCACGGTCTTGAATTCTTTGATATTATGCTTCGACAAAGTGATGATTTATCAACCTATTCATGTTATAGGTGCCATGTGTTTCTTACATGTTTGGAAAACATGTTTTTTCGGCTTATATGGTCTATATTGGATTTATTTAAATAGTCAATTGTATGGTTAGGTTTATTGGCTTATTTTAACTCAAATGAGTTTTGGGGACTTTTGTCCGGTTTAAATAGGGTATGGAGTTTTGAATGTAAAATGCACTCATTTCACTTTTGTTTAGATTGTACATGTTTTGATTGCATTAGTCATGTAGTTGGAGTCACATAATTTAGATTATAATGTATTGGATCCATAAACATGCATGTGATTCGGTCTTTTGTTAAGCGAGGAGATTTGATGTTGATGTCCTCATTTGGAGACTGGTCCTTTGTGTAAGCCAGGTGGTCATCTCGATATTGCAGAGAGAAACTCTTATGAGTTAGACTCCAGGACCGTAGGTACTTTTAAGAGGAACTCGTGTAGAGTTAGACTCTGGGACCTTGGTATTGTCATGTATAGAGTCGGACTCCGGGATTGTGGTACTAAGTCGAACCCTATGTATTACGGTGATGAACTCATGAGGAGTCACCCGGATCCATGTTTGAGGTTTTGGTCTAGTAGAGTTTACACAGTCATCAGAAGTATTTTGGGGATGAACTCGTATACAATCGGGCCCCAAGACCATTAGCTTGTAGGTTTTGGTCTAGTAGAGTTTACACATGTTAGGTACTTTGTATCCGTAGCCTTGACGGCTACCGATTCCTAAGCTTGTGGTTGTATTTTTTTTTTAAGTTGTAAGCACGACTTTTCGCCGTTTATTTAAGAAACTAAAACAAACCTAGGTTTTGTGTTGTTAACTACCTTTTTATATCTCACAACACGTCAAAAATCAAAAGTTTTATAATACATTGTCAAATTCAGTTGATACACAAGAAACATAGAATATATATTTAATACATCGATCTGATTAATATATATTCGGTTGTTGTTTTCTTAATCTCAGATCATATATGATACAATCATACACATACATATATTACATTACATATGATTACACTTTATGCGTAGATAATAAGTAAATTAACATTAAACATTTTACGTCTAGATTAATCCACGATTTCCTTGTGGATGATTGATAGTATCTCCAAATGGGTTCACTATTGGGTTGCACATAGGTCGCTGTCCATATTGGTTCGACGATTGTTGATGATTATATGGTACAAACATGTTTTGTTGTTGTTGGTCACGGTACCACTGTTGATATTGGTTCTGATACTGTTGTTGGTTCACCATCTGTTGTTGCTGCTGCTGGCTCATGACCATCTGCACGGTGGCCGGTGACACCACACCGCTGGACGTCATGGAGGGGACTCGTTGAGGTTGATATTCGTACCCGGGGTTATAGCCTGTATGTTGTGGTTGTGGTTGTTTCCTTGTTATGTCATTTTCGTACAAACCGTACAAAAGAAGCTTGTTGGATTGATCACCACCCTATGAGTTAAATAATGAACATTTCTGGTTAATTAACGATGAACCCACGAATCATTGATTCGAAAGAAAAGTTATCGCTAACCGGTTTGGCATGTAATATGGTGTTGATGTTCTTAGAGTTACTTGATGTGGTAACAACTGCAAGCTCAGGCCAATTTGAGGGTTTTTCGGTCTCATTGTATCCCGAAGATGTCGTGCCTGCATAAAGCGAGCTACATTATGTCATTTTGCTCATTATTTTCATATGTTTTGAAAAAATTGGTTTAAAGATCTACATATGTCAAGTTTTAAGGTTTAGAAACATGGGGTCATTCGCGACGAACTGAGGATTTCTTCGAGGGATATGATATTACCAGGTTGAACTATTGCAAGAGTTGATCGTGGTCCATTGTTATCCTCTAATTCTGCAGCCGCCTTCGGATTCGTTTCAGTCAGACCCTACAAGAAAGAAACGGTCATTTAGGTATATAACCTTAAATAAGATGCATAGACTAGAACATCTTTGAAGCAATCCGTACTCACCGCAGGATCATTATCATCGATGGCTATGAGCGGTAGAACTTCTTCTACCTTGGGTCGAGTCTTAGGTTCGGGCTCTTGATCTTGCAATACCTCTTTCTTTTCAACTTCTTCGACTTCTCGAGTCACAGGTTCTTTGGTTTTTTCTGCTGATCGCTCTTCTACGGCATTTTGATGCTCCTTAAAAGTTTCAAATCGAAGAGAAAAACAAAAGAATTCGTTAATTCTCGAGTTCTTAAGCATGTGATCAACGAAAGGGATCGAAAAGATCTCACCAGTTTCTTATTTGAAGCAGAACCCTTCAAAGAGACTCCTTTTACATATTCCTCCATTGTTGCAAGAAATGAAGGTGGAGGCTGAATTTCGAAAAAAAAAACATTGGAGCAAATCGGGTTGATTTCAACAAGTATTCGAAACACAAAAATCCAACCTGATTCAATGTTGGAAATTGGATGTTCATCGCAAGACGCATATGTTTTCCGAGGTTGTAGAGCTCGGCCAGTTGTTCGGCCTAAATTCATTGGAAAGATTATATGAGAAATCAATTGTATATATGCATCCGAAAATGTAGGAGAATCGGGGAGGAAAAGAACAACGGTAAACCTGTTTCCCGGCTTTCTTGTAGATGTTTAAAGCTGGAACGGCCTTGTCTTTCGACATATTGAAGAACTGGTCGACACTGATGATCGTTTAGCTCGTGTATAAACGCATCGATGAAACTCAATCAAATACATCAAACATTATCACAAATTTCGGTTTTTATGACGCTTTCATGAAACACTTTCAAGAAGTGTCCTATAAAAAAACTAATAAGTCGATTTACTTTTTGACGCTACAATAAAATCGGGTTTACAGAACGCTATGTCTAAGTCCAACTGTCCTAATAGACTGTTTTATAAGAATTTAAAGTTCACATAAACAAACAAGAAACGATAAAATGGTCATAAGTTTATAAGACAGTTTTGTGTGTTTTTTAACAAGTATTTTAGAATACTTTTAAAATAAAGTGTCGTATTAGTTATTTTATATGAACATTTCTGATAAGTGTTCTATAAATATATCTTTTTATATAATATTTGTTTTTTTTATTGCGATAATACGAAGAAAATGGTACCGATTCCACGAGTTTAATTACGCCATCATTTATCACACTATAAATCTTGAAGCTTTCTTTGAATACAAGAGCCAAGGCTTGTTGTATAAGGCTATTATGGCAAGCTGCTCCTTCAGGCTGCAAAACCAGATCAAAATTTGGGTTTTTTTCACATGGAAATAATCCGTCTCCTCCGCGAACGAAATTAACGAATCGCAGTTCGAACATTTATAAATCGAACGTTCACCTGACAAACGATGAGACGATAAAGAAGTTGTTGCATCGCAGGTAGCTGATCGAGTAGCTCGTCAACATTCATAAGCCGCATTCGACTATACGCCTACGATTCACACATATACGTATACATCCATCTATTTACGCATTTTATCGTTATGAAATAAGGTTTTTGTTAATTTAACTAACAAGCGTTTTCACGACTAACCTTGCCTATTCCAGTGGCTGTCGTCAATCGCTCGTTCTCAATATCGAATCCCGAAACGCGATAACACTCCAACCGTTCTTCAAGAAACATGGCGTACCTTCGAATCCACGATGAACAATCACAAGCTGATTTTCAGGAATTACACCATCTCTTAGAAAACCATTCTAAACATGATCCAATGATCTTATATATGTATATACATATATATATATATATATATATAATCATATATACCAAGGTGGCTTGAATCATCTCTGAATTCCAGAATCTGGAAAATGTGAATCCTGCGAGAATAATTCAGTAACTCTTCTCTAAAACTAGGATCACCCTCCCTTAAAACCCTATGAAACACCATCAATATCTTCACTGCAACCTGCAAATTTTTAACCAATTGCTTTGAAACATGGAAAGGAATTGAAACAAGAGAAATGATGATGAAGGAGTTAATTACGATCCAGTTCTTCGTCTTCATTAATCTCCTCGAAAGTGCATGAATGCAGTACCCAACGTCTGCTCGTGGTACAGCAAACGATGTTCCAACAATAATCCCTTACAATAACCATTAACATGCACAAGAATTACAATTAAATAAGAGAAATCCCAAAAGAAATTGAAGAGAAAGAAATCCAGTACTTCTAACATGCTGTTCTTTAGGAGGGCATTCTTCATGGTTGGTAGCTTTGACGATGGCAATGTCCAGATTCTTTAAAATGGAAATTATAATTTATGATTCAATTTAATTGAAAATTAATTAGATTAAATATGGAAAGAAGAGAAATCGACAGACCTTGAATTCGCTGCTGACTTTTGCAAGGCTGACGGTGGTGGAGTCCTTGAGAGCTCCATATGCTCTCCTGAAGCTCACGAATGTACCCATGGAAACCCTAATTTTCGTTTAATGGTAATTAATAAAAAAAATTAATTTTTATTTAAAATTTGAGGAAATTTTCAAGATATTGGATATGGGTTCTTGTTCTTGTTCTTTGTTCTTCCTCTTCCTCTTTTTTGCTGTTGATTTTAACAAATGTGTTCTTGTTTCATCAACAATCTCTTCGTCTTTTTGAAAGAGGGAGGATAATATTATTAATATAGATTTCTGGTTTTATTCGATTCGACCAATATCGAATGGAGAATTTAAATATGATGTATATATACGAGTTTGGTTCATTTCCGACCTTTATGCCATGAAAAGAAACCGTAGATATGCAATTTGATCGTACATATGTATATCAGCTGATTTATTACAACCAAGAATGGGTTTTTTAAGAATAAATACATGACTCGGGTTCTATTACGATGAAATGCAACTAACCATACATCATATTGAAATACGACGACCAACACGTACGTTCTTCAATATTAGGTGTCATTCTTTTGTTTCAGAAAATCGTAACAACTTATCAATTGGTTCATAAGAGTATAATTTGTGAGTTGCTCAATTCTGCTCTACAAATATAATTTATTGGGTTGTCTAATTTTGTCTAACAACTTATTGTAACATCTTTATATGCAACATACAGTTGTTTAGAATATAAACTTAACTAAAATTTTCAATTGATCCTTCATTAGAATTGTTGTAGGATTTTTATCGGGTAGTTATAAAATGGTGATTGCATCCTTTTTTGAAAAAAGAATAATAATTTCCAGTTGGTTTATATCATGAAATCATTTTACTTCTATATCAGATACAATAATCTATAAAATTTTTGAAGAAAGTTGACAAAATAAGTAGGATAAGAAAAGATTTAGGTGGCGTTTGTTTTTTAAGAGGCGTTGAGTTTGAAATCCTATTTCACTTCTGATTTATAATTGATTGCGTTGAAATCTAAAATTTGAATTAATGAGACTGTTTGTTTTTGTAAACTGATAAATATCAATTTGTTTAAATTGTCTATTTTACCCATTAAAAAATATAGTGTTGAATTTATAGATAATTTTATATAATTTCACATATTTATTGATCATCATTATGAAATTTACTTCTAAATTATATAATTAACATTCTTTTAAACGAAGATATGTCATTAACAGTGTTTAACACATTTAAATTAATTGAGAGGTGACGATTGATTTGGTAAGAATCGATTGTAAGGATGGTGATTTGCCCTGACCCGGTGAGGAACCCGGTTCACCCGACCCGAACAGGAAAGGGGATTCCCCGCTAAAACGGGTCTCGTGGCCGGGGATCCCCAATAGACTCAAACTAAGAGATATTCTTCATGGGGATTTACCGAGGTTTAACCAGGGATTGATAGTTGAGGTTTGACTGGGGACGGAATGTTAATCCCCGTACTCGCCGCGGACCGGGGCCGGGGTCGGGGATGTTACTACAAACTGGGGCTGGGGTCGGGATATACAAAACCCGCCCCATCCCCGCCTTGTTGCCATGCCTAATCGATTGAGAAAAATGATCTATTAAGGTTAATCGATTGATAAACGTCGTTGTTGAGAATTTAAAGAATAATAATAAAAGGGCAAATAATAGATTAGATTACCTCTTATCATATAAGAGAAAAATAAAACATAAGTATCTATTAAAAATTCAAAAAAAAAAACACAGTTTAAATGGTTTTACGTATTAACGAAAAACAAAAAACGCCTTATACTTAACATAGATGACGAAACTTTTTAAAATCTTCTTTTCTTCTCTAACATATGTACATGTTGTCGTTGCATTATTGTCGTGCAAAAAGATAGAAACACAAGGGTTTGAAATGTAGAAAAGAAAAAGAAAGGACTTCAAATGCAAATACAACATAAGATGGAGGGGTTAAAGTGATTCTTCATGTTTCCTCGTCCGAAGTGGGAGAATTTGGCTTTGTCACAAATCGTCCCTGTAAAATATAGAAATGACGAATATTTATTAATGATTTACTAATGGTAGGTAAACAAGAAATGGGGGTTGAAATAGAAACCTTGCATCTGGGCCGTCTATCAGAGCTGGCATTCTTGACCTGGTACCGGATCTTCTTGAAATGATTGTTGTCCATAGAGCGCGTTGCACCAGATTCCATCCACCCACCGTTTTCTGAGAATAATTCAATGTGAGCCGCTCTAGCCTGCCAAAACACACATCAATCTAATTTTCAGGCACGTGTTTTAAATATTATTTCTTAACACTTTTTTATTATTTTTTTTCCATTATTTAATTAAAATTTTAAATAAATTAACCATAAAGATACAGTCTGAGTGTACGAAAATAACACTTACTGGGGGTATTAAAAACACCGACTAACAAACTCTAAGGTATTTAATATGATAATTAAGTCATTAATTGATATATTGTAATTGTTAGCTTTATTTGTATCTTAAAATGGTTGTATCAAAATTTCAACCTAATATGTACCCTTTATATCAGGTTGGTTTGTAATTTTGTCTAAGTTGTGGTTGGATTGAGATTTCTCAAATTATAAATATTGGACTGGGTTGTTTTAAGTGTCTTTTAACTCAACTAACCTAACTCATGTACAACCCTAACAGCTATCATTTTTACATACACTTAATCAATTTTACATGCATGAATTTGTTAAATTTTTGGTAATTATAATTAAAAAAAAGGTATAATCTTGTATTTTTGTAATTAATTGATAAATCAAAAAACAATATAGAAATGTCTAAAAACATGTTAATAATTTAATCTAGAAAATAGATCTTTAAAAATCATTGGATCTTATTACAACATTACTTTTAAATAAAAAATTATTTAATAATTTCAAAAAAAAAAATTATAATCGTCAAATATAAGTTAAAGGGTCGTTTATCAAAACGTTTATTCGATGAGAGTATATGCTTAACATAAGCAAGTCGAATATCGTTTTATAGGAGAGATTTTAGTCTATACTTTCATTTACCTTATACGGTAAGAGTCATCACCCTCAATTATTTAATAAAACAGACGGTTACAATTAAAATTCCTAATATTTATCATACACATTTGATAAGATAATTAAATGATCTAATAATCACTTACTAAATGATCCCTAAACATTTATCATTTACCTCACACGTATTATCACATGTGATAAAAATGTATTCACGTTCTCGTAAAATAAAGATGTTCTCGTTTGAATCTCTAACTAGATATATAGATAATGGTAAAAACAACCCATGTGCAAGTTCTTCTTGAAAAGTATTTTTGAATTTTTTTTCTTTTTTAATTTTAAATTATAATAAAGTATTTGATTAATATTAAAGAAAAAATGTTTTCAAGAAAATTTTACTGACATCCCGGTGACAGAAGGAATGAAGAGACTACTTACATGGATGTCGGCTCCCGGAGACGCCGACTGCGGAGTTTCCTCCGGCAACGGCGACCCTTTATCTGACCAAGCATTTAGAATGGCGTCGTAATCCAATTTCAATATGAATTGATGCCCAACTCCCTGACTCAAACCCTCATCTCCAGAATTAAAATTTCCCTGCCGGAATTCCGATCCTGATTTCATTAGTTCCTCCACCTTCTTCTTCTTGTTGTTCTTCTTTCCGACCGGAAATTTTTCCGGTGGCGGTGATATGTTCACCATCTTCACCGTCGGAAAACTACCGAAATTCCGTTCATCACCCTTTCTTAAAGCCCTTGCTCCGTTTCTCATCACAAAACCAAAATTCAACTCCGGCTTCCCCCCAAATCCTAGCCCCATTGGGTACCCATAACAAGTGTTGAAATGAGATGCAATTATACCATTTGATTCATCGATTTCTAGTATTGAATTTGAATCCCCCATGATGCTATCGATCCCCTGTTCCATTTCCTCATCAAGCATCGACTCAGTATCGAAATCATCATCATACCCATCGCTCGATTCCACAAAAACAGAATTCGGTTTGATTTCCCCTGAATTCTGGCATGAACTCACGACCTTCGGCTCAATCAACGGACAGGGTTTGTCCATGATTCGTTGCCGGAGGAGAAACCCGGAGTTCTCAATTACCGGCAAAATTAATTCCGGTGGCTCGTTGAAGAAATTACAATGCTGTTTGGGTAGATTACTGGTTCTCTTTGTGAGGTGGATGGTATTGAAAATGTTGGGGCAAGCCATGGAAAGCAGAGCAGCTGCTTCATTGTAAGTCTGATTGGGTCTTTTTCGCGGTGTTCTTGGCTTTCGGGTGGAGATTGCCGTTGGAGAATTGCTGGATTCCGACAAGGTTGAAGACGGAGATGATGAATTTGAAGTTGTTCTACCGGAAGTACTACATGGCCATTTAACCATATGTTCAAGATCAAACCCACAAGCCCTTGAACTCAAGCAAGATGACATTTTGAGACTTCAAGAATTCAATCGACACCCAAATTCATCTACCCATTCAATCCAACAAGAAAAGATTAAAGATTGAAAACCCAAAAAGATTCAAAATTCAGGGAAAGATGATAGTTTGGGTTTCTGGGTTCAAGAAGAATTCACTTCATTTGTCAGAAAGAATCAATCAAACCAGATTTAGAAAACCCAAATCCCAAATCCATAGGAAATAGTTGAAAATGATTGGTACAAAAGTTGAATTGATTAAAGAGCTATAGTAGAAAAACCCTAAACCCTAAAAAAATACCTAAAAAGTGCTTATTTTTTAGTAAAATCAAAAGTAGGGTTCCTTTGGAAAAAAAGCCAAAGAAAGAAACTTAGAATAATACATCACAACAAAAACATGCCAGAAACCCCTAAAAAGAATTTAACCCCTTAAAAAATCCAACCTTGAAGTCATCGGAATAGAGACTGCCATAATCGATTGAAACTATGAAAAACCCTAGACTTTGTAAAAAGCAGTTAGCTAAAAGAGGAAAGTGAAGCGTACTGAGATACATACACATATACATATATGTGCATTTTTAGTAGGTATGCGTGTATCAACAAGATTGAATGCACAGAACCCAAGCATTGAAGTAATCATGAATTGGGTTTACCCAGATGAACCAGATTTATCCAATAAGAAGATCAGAGACTGCAGTGTGTGTTTGTATGTGTATGGAGTCACGGGGATGGAGAAGAGATCTGTTGGGTAGTTCTGCAAAAGGGACACAGATCCACCTCTCTCTATCTCTCTCTTAATCTCTGTGTAACCCTCCCACCCCCCTCTCTCTCTATATATATATATGTATATATGTATGTATAAAATCTGTCTCTACAAAATGATCAAGAGTTGTAGAGCTTAAGTGTGGAATGGAGGTATGGGTGAGAATGGATACAAAGGAAGGGACAAGACAGAGGCCCCAGTCATTTCACCTTTGGAAGGACCACTCTGTTGTTTCTGCCCAAAATTTTTAATTTTTGTGACTTCTTTCATCATTGAATTATGCTTTTGGATTGTTCATACCAAAAACTATCTATTGGTTATTAATAATTAAGTCAATTAATTATAAAAATGTAATAACTATGGCATAATTATTACAACTTCTTTAATGATTTTGTCATTATGATTAATTTATAAATATTACATATTTATATTTGATTAATTCTATAACCTCATTTGTTTTTTAAATCTATATATATATATATATATATATATATTAATTTCCTAAAATAAAGTAAACTAATTTTGGCCATTGATCAAGAAAATGGATGGATGAGATTGGTTCATACGGTTTACACAAATGGGACAGGTTTTTATTTGAACGCTCCTCTATCTCTCTCTCTCTCTCTCTATATATATATATATATATATATATTAAAGGAAGAACCAAAAGTATGGAGGTGGTATCATGAGAATTGAGTATTGAGATTTTGGTGAATTGTGATTGAGTTTGAGATATCCCACATTAGTGAAGAGTTGAAAGATTTGAACAAAATGAAGTGTATAAGAAAGGTGAATTGGATCCCTTTGTGTCAAATAATGGGGTTTGCCTCATAGGGTTATCTTTTTTTGGATGACCATTTTTGAAATCTATAATTGTTGCTACAACTTATGCATTCCTCTAATTTTCACTTGAAATATTATAAAACGTCTATTTTTTATAACTTCAAATAAGATTTCAATTAAATTTGTTACAAAATTAACATCGTGATTTTGTCACCTTATATGAGATTTCGGTTAGAACTGTGACATCTAGTTAAACAAACTACTAACATTAGTCAAACATTTGTAGAATACTTTGTAACACCATTCTCGAGCAAAGTTAGATAACTTAAATTAGCATATGGTTCTAAAATTGTTGTCAACTTCTCTTAAAAACTTTTAATGTTAATGATTAGTTGGCACACACATTTGTGCCTAATTCTTTTTAGAAGTGTACTTCAAATTTTAATCTGTAACATTTCTTTTGAAGATGATATTATGACTACCGCGCAACGCGCGGTTAGAACCCTAGTTTTATATGTATCAAATTTGTCATCTACCAAATATTGTAACTTATAGGATTCCATGATTCTTGAAAAATGAGCGACGAATTAAAGATACCATTCAAGTATAATTCTAAAGTTTGTCTTATTTATAAAAGTGAATAATTATTCGAATCGTAAGAATTATGTACGTCTGACCTTATTTTTCAAGACTTGAAATTTACATGTTTCGATTAAAATCGAATACTTTGTGATAATATAAAAAATGATATCTTGTTTTTTATTCATGATATATGTTTTTGTAATAAAAAAACGTGATGATAATGATTACTGATGTTATAGCAAAATGATTAATAGTATTCTAATCATCTTCTTAAAAGAGAGTTGGTATGATGCAAGCTTGCAATGATTAAATAATGCTTAGTATTAGATATGCGTGATTCACGCCCTACTTTTATTGCTACCAATTACATGTGAACTGAATGTTAGTACAAATAGTTAACTGAAAAGAAATATCGTACGAATAGCTATGTATTACTTCAAAACAAATGAGGCTTGGAATGGGTAGCAGGGACGGATCCAGAAATTTTTTTAAACGGTGGTATCATTTGGCTATAAGAAAAACTATAGCGAAAAAATTTCAAACAGTGACACCGATTGACTATAAAAAACAAATATACGAACTTTTTTTTCAATCGGTGGCACTATTTGACTAAAAAAATAACACTAACAAGATTTGAATTTGGGTCTTGAGTGGAATAAAAGTCTTGCAAACCAACTCTACCAAATAAAACTTGTTCTCATTGTAGTGTCAAAATACATACGGTGGCACACAACAGATTAATACGGTTACATCTTTCACGAACCTAAATTTTTTAACCCTTCGACGGAGAAATAATACGGCGGCACGTGCCACCGTAACCACCATGATAGGTTCGCCCATGATGGGTAAGGTAAAGGTTATTCCGCTACCCTATCCATTTAAAAATAACGTATAACGAGAATTATTCATCTAATAAAAAACTTTAATCAATATGCATATCTTATCCATTAAAATAATGGGTAACAGATAAATGATAAAAAAAATTAATTTAGACTACAAATGATTTTGTTAAACCTCTATAAACAAAATATAAGTTTATAAATATAGTAATTATTTTATATCTAATTTGTTGTAATAAACATTTTAATATTATTCAAAATATAATTATAATATAGTACTTTAAAAACAAAAATATAAATACTGAAAGACAACACTTTTTGTTTTATTTATTTTCCCAACCTCGACACGTTTCTCATATAATTATCATTAACCCTTTTAATCGATATGTAAAGAAAAATTGAATTGCACATTGATATACGAATATAACATTATAAAATAATATTAATATTTAACTTACATTATATTTATAAAATAATATTAATATTTAACTTTACATTATATATATATATATATATATATCGTAACAAGTAATAAAAAACCGTTTATCCATATCCTACCCATTAAATTGTCGGGTAAGCGAAAAATGGATAAGTGGATAAATGAATAACATTTTCTTTACTTGTAACCTTATCCAAGGACTTGAAAAATAACCGATAACGATTTACACTTTGCCCATTGTCGGTCCTAAAAATAGATATTGTTCAAACTAAACTGAAACACTGAACGATTGTATATACATGATGATCAACTTGCACACATGCCACTAAAATAATGGAATACGCATGAGATCATAACTGAACCAACGTAGTACGGTGGTCAATTGTGTCAACTAAACCATGTATAATGATTGTAGTGTGTATTGGTTAAAAACTAGTTAAACAAAACAATGTAAAGAGGTACCTTTGTGATACATGTACTAGAACTATGAATCTTCGCACACTTACTTAGTAAACCTCTACCTTGCGGCCTTCTAACCTTCTACGAGGCATATGCTACTTGACATGGGGTGGTTGTTGTGATGAGTTATCCTGCAACATGTAGATCATTGGTCACGTTGTCTTTGCGACTAGAGCCTAGTGACCCTGTATCACCACTCTAGGTCATGTAGATTCATATGTACATTGTTGGCCGAACCCAGTAAACCCAAAATTCAATCCATAACCTTTTATACTTGATTTACTGTTTATTTTTTACTAGGGTTTACTATTACATGCTTAAGCATTAAAACGGTATATCTAACATGTAATTATCGCATCAATTCGGGGTTTTTTTGCATTCTACACAAAATGAATAAAACTCTATTTTTAATCATTAAAGCAATCTAAACTCACTGATTCCATACTTGAATGCTTTGTAGGAGTTGTTGATCAATGAGTTTGGAAGGATCAAATCCACATGGATTTTGTTCAGTGTGATTCTAGGCGAAAACACCAAATTAAACTGCAGACATAGTTTGCTTAAGAAAGTTTGGGAATCAGTGCCTTCGGCATGCAATGAGGCAATTTGGGTCTCAGATCCAAACCTTGAATTGGATCGGACCAAATTAGTAGTATGGACTTCGTCAAGGGCAAGACGATAAATCTTTCAAGGTATTAGTTGTTGGGAAAAAGTTACGGTTGAGCATGCTACCATCAGCTTTCGTGAAAGATCGTTTGTTAGTGATGGAATATTCGAAATGTCAGGATAAAGAGGGAATACCTGAGGTTGATTTTAAGTGGAAATCATTTTATTGGATCCATAGGCATGTGAGTCAATCGTGTTTATTAAGTAAGGAGTCTTGATGTCCTCATTTTGTGACCAATGCTCAAGTAGGCATTATGGTCGTCTCGGTATTGCAGAGGTGAATTCTTGTGAGTCGGACTCCGGGATCTTCAAACTTGTATTTTGGTGCTTTAATGTTTATGCATGAGGGTTAAATGCCTTGTGTTATTAAGTAGGAAGTTTTAAGGTTCTTATCTTGAATGCTAGTGAGTAGACACTAAAGATAAAATAGGAACCTTAAGGTTGGAAATCAACTAGAAAAAGAAATGGGCACTAAGATCTAGTAGCCTTGAGGTGACGCTCGATAGGAAGTGTGCACTAAAGGTATTGTGACCTTGAGGTAGCACCCGGTAAAAGGTGTGCACTTAAGATATTGAGGACTTAAGGTGACACTTAATATAATGTGCACTAAAGTCAATGATCTGAGGTGCATTTCGATAACGTTGATATATGGCTATTCTTGTGTTCCACCCTACTCGATGGATACCAGTCTCCCCCATCATCGAAAGGTGTTGTATTTGGAGAGTATATTATCCATGTTTTCGGTGTTGTTTTGGGTATGGAATGTATCCATAACTTATAGTTTTGGTATGTTGGAACTTATCCATGAATTGTGTTTTTTGATGTTGAACCTTATCTTGTTTTTGGGTGTTTTGGATGACAGAGTTACATCCATTTTTCAAGTATTGAAAATATTAAACTTGATTACCCTATGTTATATAAACGAACATACCATGAAACAAAGAAGGACTCGAAAGAAAGTTTGCATAACGACACAACAACAACTTAGTTATACCACATAATGTCATTTATAGTATTGTATTTTAAATGTGGGAATCACAAAGGAAATTTCAACATAGAAAGACATAATTACGATTAACATCATCCTCAAGATCATGCAAGGTCAAATACTAATTAACTTCACACACAAACATAAGACTTGGCACCAAATACGCCATTCATCTCTCGGATTATGCCAAAGTCCTATACTCACCCTCTAAATCCCACAAGGCAGTGAATACGGCAGCCCCTCTGATTGTCTCAC